ATTTACGCACATTTTATTTCAAGCAGCTATAGCAGGTACCACCATTCAAAAAAGGCTGTTCCACCAACATGAAAATATGATTTCCTCTCCAAAGAGCTTTTACTGCATTTTTCACTAAATATTCAATGACTTTAAAAAAAAAAAGAGTCTAGATAGTTCTTTCATAGAATCACAGAATAGTCAGGGTTGGAAAGGACCTTAAGATCGTCTAGTTCCAACCCCCCTGCCATGGGCACCTCACACTAAACCATCTCACCCAAGGCTCTGTCCAACCTGGCCTTGAACACTGCCAGGGATGGAGCATTCACAGCTTCCTTGGGCAACCCATTCCAGTGCCTCACCACCCTCACAGTAAAAAATTTCTTCCTTATATTCAATCTTAACATCCCCTGTTTAAGTTTGAACCCATCACCCCTTCTCCTGTCACTACAGGCCCTAGTGAATAGTCCCTCCCCAGCATCCCTATAGCCCCCTTCAGATACTGGAAGGCTGCTATGAGGTCTCCACGCAGCCTTCTCTTCTCCAGGCTGAACAGCCCCAACTTTCTCAGCCTGTATTCATACAGGAGGTGCTCCAGTCCCCTGATCATCCTCGTAGCCCTTCTCTGGACTTACTCCAACAGCTCCATGTCCTTTTTATGTTGAGGACACCAGAACTGCACACAATGCCCCAAGTGAGGCCTCACGAGAGCAGAGTAGAGGGGCAGGATCACCTCCTTCGACCTGCTGGTCACGCTCCTTTTAATGCAGCCCAAGATACAGTTGGCTTTCTGGGCTGCAAGCGCACACTGAAGCCGGCTCATGCTCATTTTCTCATCAACCAACACCCCCAAGTCCTTCTGTGCAGGGCTGCTCTGAATCTCTTCTCTGCCCAATCTGTAGCTGTGCCTGGGATTGCTCTGACCCAGCTGTAGGACTTTGCACTTGGCTTGGTTGAACTGCACGAGGCTGGCCTCGGCCCATGTCACAAGCGTGTCGAGGTCCCTCTGGATGGCATTCCTTCCCTCCAGGGTATCAACCGAACCACACAGCTTGGTGTCATCGGCAAACTTGCTGAGGGCGCACTCAATCCCACTGCCCATGTCGCCGACAAAGATGCTTAATAAAACCAGTCCCATCACCGATCCCTGAGGGACAGCACTTGCTACTGGTCTCCAGCCAGATACTGAGCCATTGACCACAACTGTGTGTGGCCATCCAGCCAGTTCTTTACCCACTGAGTGGTCCATCCATCAAATTGATGTCACTCCAATTTAGAAACTCTCTACAAGTTTTATATAAAGAGATTTCTGAAGTGGATTTGTAAAAGAAATTAATATGGACCCAACCATGACAATCCAATTTTTCCACTCATGCATGATGCGATTCCTACCAGAGACACAAATACAAAAAATGGCCCATTCCATTTTGTTTTAGACACAAAGAAGCAGGCAAGATAGTCCATATATATAATATTTTTATTGTCAGGAAAATATTTCTCATCTTACTACAAGCAACTGGATCAAAACATTCATTCTTATCACATTAATGATCATAAACTCAGAAGTTGCTTCAGTAATGTAGAAGACAGTTTGAAGTTAGCGGTTTCAAGGAGGGAAGGAACATCTACTTCAAAATCATTGCAATATTGTTAAGAGAGAGGGAAAACACACCTTGCAACAGCAAGGAAAAACAACACTGAGAATTTTAGGATATGACTGCATCACAAAATGCAAAAACTCGAAGCAAATCCTGAAGTGCACATTCATGCAGAATATCACAGCAAAAGTGCTTTGCTTTTGTGTAACTGTAGTTATTGCTGTTTCCAAGTCTGAGCCAGATTGCATTGAAGCAGCTCAAATCACAGAATAATAGAATTCTAGAATCAACTCAGTTGGAAAAGACCTTTAAGACCATCAAGTCCAACCATTCCCCCAGCACTGCCAAGGCTGCCACTAACCCATGTCACTGAGGTTCTCACATACACGGTGCGTGAACACTTGCAGGGATGGTGACTCCACCACTGCCCTGGGCAGCCTGTTCCAATGCCTGAACACCCTCTCTTCAGTCTAAACCTCCCCTGGAGCAGCTTGAGGCTGTTTCCTCTTGTCCTGTCACTTGGGACAGGCTGACAGACCTGTAGTTCCCAAGGTCTTCCTTCTGCCCTTTTTGTGGAAAGACATCATGTTGGCCAACCTCCAATTCCCTGGGACCTGCCCAATACACCAGGACTGCTGCTAGATGATGAGGAGTGGTTTAGTGAGATCCTCTGCAATCTCCTTCAGCACTCTTGGGTGGAACCCCTCTGGACACATAGACTTATATGCATCCAAGTGGAGCAGAAGACTTATGAGTACCCTGAGAATGGCTGGTGTGACTATTAAAGACTGAAATGAAGGCAGCATTAAGTGCCTCAGCCTTTTCTTCATCCTCAGTCACTAGGTTACCCCTTGTGTCCAGCAGAGGATGGTGGTCCTCCTTGGGTCTCCCTTTATGCTAATACATTTGAAAAAGTACTTTTTATTATCTTTGATGGCAGTGGCCAGATTTAGTTCAATCTCTGCCTTTGCATTTCTAACTTTCCCTCTACATAACCTAACATCCTTGTACTGCTCATGAGGCGATAGTCCCTTTCTTCCACAGGTGATAGATTCCCTTGTTTTTCCTGAGTTCCAGCACTATCTGCCTGTTCAGCCAGGCTGGTCTCTTCCTGACGGGCTGACTTTCAGGACAAAGGGACCACCTGCTCCTGCACCTTAAGGATTTCATCCTTGAAGAGCATGCAGCCTTCCTGGAGCCCTTTGTCCTTCAGTAATGTCTCCTGAGGAATTCTGCCAACCAGCGTCCTGAACAGGCCAAAGTCAGCCCTCTGGAAGTTTAAGGTGGACACTTTGCTGACCTTCTTCCTGACTTCTCCAAGGATTGAAAATTCAGTCATTTCATGATCGCTTTGCCCAAGAGGGCCTCACCCATCACATTATCCACTGTCCTCCTCTGTTTGCCAACAGCAAATCTAACCAGGCATCTCCCCTAGTTGGCTCACTCACCAGCTAGGTTAGGAAGTTATCTCCCACACCCTCCAAGGAACATGCTGGATTGTTTGTTCTCTGCTGCTGCACTTCCAGCAGACATCTGTTAGATTGTAGTCCCCCGCAAGAACAAGAACAAGCGATCATCAAACTTCTCCCCATTGTTTGAAGAACACTACATCTGTAGCTTCATCCTGGCTGGGTGGTCTATAAACAGACTCCTACCAGAGTATCTGATTGGTTGGCCCTCCCCTTGATCTTCACAAACATTAAGCCTTCTCACTGACAGCACTGAGTTCAAGGCAGTTAATGCACTCCCTGACATACAACACAACTCCACCACCTCTTTTTCTTTGCCTGTTTCTTCTGAAGAGCCTGTAGCCATCTACTGCAGCACTCCAATCATACCTATCATTCCACCGCGTTTCTGTGATGGCAATTATGTCATGACTTCCCTGCTGTACAGTGGCTTCCAGCTCCTCCTGTTAGTCTAGTGTCTGCTATTACTTCATCATCTGAGGTTCACATGGGAACAGCTCATGTGTATGTCCTAATGGAAAACAGTAGCTATTCCACATTTATATATTGTGTTTTTCTAACTTCTTGTGTGCCCATTATATCGTTGGCTTTTCTCACCTCACGTTTTCTTCTATAGCTCTTTATCCTCCAGATTTAATAAATTATGTCAAATACATTCTGCACCACACATCATCAAGAAGATGTCTGGGGAATAATTTACTATTGGTAAAATATTCTGTCTCCTTATGTATAAGGTCTTTTTCCAGGATTATTTTTTTTAATATGCATCAGCTCAGGAAGCTGAAAACCAAGTTCAAATAGCAGTCAGAAAGAAATTTTTTACAGAGAGAATGGTCAAGCACTGGCACAGGTTGCCCAGAGAGGTGGCAGATGCCCTATCCCTGGAGACATTCAAGGTCAGGTTGGACAGGGTTCTGAACAAGATCTGATCTTGTTGAACATGTCCATGCTCACTGCAGGGGATTAGACAAGATGGCTTTTAAAGGTCCCTTCCAACCCAAAATATTCTATGATTACCTTATTTTACATTAGGCAACTCAAAAACCAGAAAAGAAATCATATAGTTCTAATGCTGTTCTGTGCAAGGATTTTGAAAGCTATTACAGAGAAAGCACTTGCTTAAAACTATCTGCTACTGGATTTTTTCCTTTATTTTTATGGAGAGCAGATACAGAAATCTGTACAGACACAGCACAGTTGAGTTCTGTCCTGCCTCCTGCAATGTCAACATGCTGGTTTGAGTTCCAAGATCAAAATTCTTCATGTTGTTCATGGCAATGAAGAACACAAAATCAGCACCAAGGCTTGCACATCTTATACTACTTCAAAATAGCTTTTAAATTATTATTATTATGTCACAAAGAGGAGTCCTTTTGTTGAAATGGCTATATACAGCTCCATCTTAATTGTATCTCTCCAGGTTTTCAAACCAGTGAGAAGACTACTATACTTGGGGGCTGGGAAGGAAGGGGAAGCCATCAGTCCTCCTCTTCCTGCTATTTCCTGTTCACTATGAAAGAAAATTCACCTACAATTACAGCAGCAATTCACAGTTCTGGTTAATGTACCACATTGTTCCCATCTCCAGAGACCACCAGTACCAACTCCAAAGGTTTTGGGAAGGACTGACAATACCCAAGTGAATGAGACCAGGCAAAACTTTCAATTCAACAAAACGAGTCAACTCAAAGCATGTAGTTGCATTCCAGAGAGACAGCCTCTGCCGGTCATCCACTGGAGCATAAATACACATTCAAGTAAAAGAAACAGGGCAATTAAATAAAACCACCTAATTGCAAAGATAATGATGCCCATTACAGCACCCACAAGAGAGGAGATGGAGGAGATGCTTGCTGTGATATCTCAGTACAATCAGAAATCCACTGGATTCAGCATTTTCATTGTCTGCTTTCATTCTCACAAGGTGATTTGGCTCAAAGTCTTGTGCACACAGTTTCTGCTACTAGTCCTGTGGGAAGGAAATGTGAAGACCATGGATTGCTTTCCAGTTACTTCTGCTATCAGAATGAAACTCCACACTCCTGAGAATAAGAAAACCCTGAAATGACAGTCCATTTCTCTGAACATTTATCCATTTTTCTTAAAGTGGCTGTAGGCAGATGACAAACTGACTAAGTGGCACAGCATCATCTGGAAAGGAACCGTGTGGATGACTCAGTTGTTTATTGGATAGTTTCAGACTTTGAGGCAGAGATGGCACACACCATATTCTGAACTGCCTCTGCAAGAGCTCTTATTCATCTATCCAACATTTCCTCTTCATTTCTTTCAGTGCTATATTGTAGCTCACTACTTAGCCTTCATGGCTCAGTCAGAGAACTATGGTTCAGAACCCTACTCTTCCACAGAAAACAAAAGACCAGCTTTGGGATCACTTGGATCACTTGGGAGATTAATAGCTCTGCTGAAATGTCATGTTGCTTAGAGTCATCTAACCAGGTCATTCATGCTCTCATTAGGAAAAGAAGTTCCCACTTTAGATCCTTCAGAATCCTCCCAGGAATAGCAGTTGTCACTTCTTTTCAAAACCTTAAAGTGCATTCATGTAACAACACAATCAATCAATCAAATAAAATCACACACACACACAAAAACCCAAAGAAGCAAACCAAACCCAAACCAAACCAGTCCTGTTAGGATAGCAGTACTGAAAATGCAGCTAGTAAAGAATGCTTTTCTTCAGAGGGCAAAATCTGTCAGGCCCTGAATGCCAGCTGTATAGTTAGTCCTTTTAATCATCACAATGTCAGTAACTACTTTCATTCCTGAGCTTAGTTACAGAGGTTTTTTCCGTTTCGTACCAAATCATAAAACAGAACTTCAGTCAGCCCTCTTTCCTATGAGAACATTGGGATTTTGTGAAACTGGAAGGAGAGATGACACTATATGTAACAGTCCGGGAGAAGGCTTTCTGATCACTTCTTTGTAAATGGGTGAAATCTTGTTGCTGGCTTCTTTTGTTCATTTCTGTAGGGCATTACAAAGCATAAAAAACTACCACAGATCTAGCTCAACAAATCCACCAGCATGGTGCAAATATCAGTGCAAGAGCAAAAACACCTAAGTGTAGGAGAGAAAAGGTGGCATTCGTATATCATAGCACAGACGCCATGAAATGTTCATGAACTCTTTTACCAGCAGAGTTCTTCAAGGCTGAATGTGAGTAGCATGCTGGAACATGTGTGAACAGCTGGAGAAGACAACTGCTGTGCCAAAAGTGTTCTGTGTCGTGGAAAAAACAAGAGGCCTCTTAGACATTATAGACCTCCTCTTCCATGGCATGTCCAACCTCCTCATGAAGTTGGTGGAAGGTGTTACGCCTGAGGATCTCCCAGCCACGGTGAGAACTAGTCTTGGATGTGCTCCGTGACAATGAGGGAGCAGGCAGCTCCTTCTTGTACAGGATGTCCCTATTGATTTCCAGCTTTTCCAAAGCTTTGTCATAGTTATCCTTATCCTGAACCTTAAATGCTTCTGTATACCGCATCATTTTGTGTTTGGTGGGATCAACCCTGTCTTCAACTCTGTAAGAGGATTAAAAAGATGAGCTTAATGAAGTAGAAATATGCCAGTTTATCAACAAAACCAAGCAGCCACAAGCAGCAAGCCCCTCTCATATGCCTACTGACACAGACATCCCAGAAAACCTACACAGAATCAGGAAATCTTTTATAGGCACAGTACTAGCAGCTACTATCATACAATTACCTCCTAGACCTTCATCCCTGTCATGTTTCTTATTAGCATCCACACCTTGGATTCTTCTTCTAGGATCCTTACAGGCATGCACTAGAAGAGAACTCACCTGAGATACCATCGATCCCCTAGCCCATACTCCCGGCCACAGATCCCAGAGCGAGGCCAGAGACACCTTGGCAGTTTCCTTTCCAGCATGACAGTGGTAGCAACAACCTTTAGAATAAAAAACCAACCAAATCAACCAACCAACCAAGAAAGAACTTGAATGAATTAGAAAAAACTCTCTTTCAAAATGATCAGTTTCATGAGCACTGACCCATTACCATACTTGATTACAGCCCCGTATGTAATGAAAAAAATCAGAGTCAACGCTATTATAGGGCAATTCACAATTTTAGTCACAGCTGTGACATGTTTTGAGGAAGCAGTGGTGCTCTTAAAACACTGTTAAATATCTTTCCTGATGGCAAAGGGTAGGGCAATTAATTTGTAAGCTAGAGAAGAGAACACTATTTATATATGCATTAATTGTTGGCAGAACTTACCAATGTGGCCACATAACTACGTTTAACCATTTGACTTACTGATTCCCCACAGAAAAGGGTTTTCTGCTGAGCAGCTATATAAATGATCTGGTTGATTTTTTTTCTGTCTTTTGAGCAAGAGTTAAGCCAAGTTTTCTTAATGGATCTAAAGATATTACTGACCTACTTGCAATCATTACCTTGCATTCTATCCCACCTCAGTCAATCCCTATAATTAGGCTCTCAGTTACACAGAATGGGATTTGTAAAAAAGGATGTAACTATAATTCTGTTTAACAAGTGAGCTCATGCGTAACAACCAAAGAGCTAGGAAGATACAGGATGGACAAAAAGGTTGAATGGGTTTCTAGCTGCTATTTGAAATATGGTAGGAATACCCACAGAGCAAAGACATACTGTAAGACAGTTTCACATGGGAAGATGTAAAGAAGAGTCTTGCATTTAGTCACTTCAGATTCATAGAAAGGAAAAAAGAAGCTTGGTGGCTGATTTACAGAAGCTGTAAAACAGAATTAAAGGAACATGGCTTGTTGTATTAGCCTCTGAGAAAAATGAAGGGCAGGGAAAGGTTTTAAAGTACCTCCTTAAAAGCATGGATGGCAGAGTAAGTAACTGGGCTGTCTAGCACATTTTTCTTGGACAACTTTTCCCCTTCTTTATTAAAAGTGAACACTTTACCACCTAAACTAGATTACCTGGGCTCTCCAGAGTTCATCCCGTTCATGGGCCACTCTCCAATGGGTGTCACCCATCATGGCAATTAGCAAGTTGAGCATAAGGAGCGTGGCAATGATGGCAAAGGCAAAGTATACCACACTGTACATAAAAGGCAGATCCACATCATAATTTGCTGGGCCATCAATGATAGTGAGGAAAAGCTCAAAGGTGGTGAACAAGGACATGGGATAATTGTAGAACTGTCCAAGGTTCTCAGGGTTCTCTGTCTGGAAGATGATGTAAAAAGCTGGAGGAGAGCAATAGGGGGAAAAAAGAGAGAGAAAGTTTAAACAACAGGAATCACATTCCAAGATCAACAACAGGGTCCTGTAAGGGATGCTGGCAACAAACAGTGGTCTGGGAAGGAGGTACATGTGTTTCTATGCTAGTGCAGTACTCAGGATAACAAAGACAAATGTCTCACTAGAATCACTGGACTTCATTCTAGAATTACTCAGAATTATTTTATTGCCTTTGCTCTCAAAATAGTGATTTTCTTTTCTTCAAGGGCATAATTAATCGTGATTGTTAATTAATTTTCCAAAGACAAGTATCATAAATGCAGTATGTTTGTAAACCTCGACTTATATATGTGTGTGGAATTACATGGATTGTTCTAATTTATATTACCCTAGAAAGAGAAAGAATCCAAAACTGAACTTGCATGAACAGAAGTCAGTACTGGGAAAGTGACCATACTCAAAGAAATAGAGGGTATACATCATCACCACCTTTGCCAGCTACCTCAGAGGACAACCTGAGAACAAATCAAAACCCACACACTTCATTCATACTGAAGAAGATGGCAGGGCATTACTAACATGGCGGTGTTGGCCACATGGTGGTGGCTGGTCTCTTCTCTCAAGTAAGAAGCAATAGGACAAGAGGAAATGCCTCATACTATGCCAGAGGAGGTTTAAATTGGGTATTAGGAAAAAATTCTTCCCCAGAGGTTGCTCAGGCATTGGAACAGGCTGCCCATGGCAGTGCTGGAGTCACCGTCCCTGGAAGGGTTCACAAACTGTATAGATGAGTCCCTTAGTGACATGGGTTAGTGGTGGCCTTGGCAGTGCTGGGGTAAAGGTTGGACTTCTTGATCTTAAAGGTCTTTTCCAATGTAGTTGATTCTATGATACTGCTGGTTTACTTTTGCAAACTCACCTGATGCAAAGCCTAGTATCACCACAGCCATGAGCCAGCAAAAGCGCATAAGATCTCCAAATATCATCTGTAGAACAAAAACAGAACCATCATAAGGCCCAACTGTCCCACCAAGTCACAATACAATCCTATGTAAGCCATTTTCCAGATTCTAAGACTATGAGTGGACTAAAGAAAACTTCTGCACTAAAGAAAGAATATGAAAGTCCCAAATCATCTGCGCAAACAAGAGCTTGTCCATTTGCCATTAACACTAGTCCTTTGCAGTCTTATCTGCAAAAAGGTGTCATGATGTAACAAGCCCATATCTGTTTGTGTCTTATACCTTCTGGATCATGATGGTAAAGGGTCCGAGCATCTGGAAGCCTCGTGCGAAGTACATGACATTGCACCATCCTAGCACCAGGGCAAAGGACATGGGCACCACCTCACCAGTTGTGCTGGTGAGACGCATCACCATGGTTACTAGAATCATGAAAGCATATGTGATGCTGCAAAGGAAGAAGAGACAGTGGAAAAAAGTTCAGTAGAGGAATCTTACCCTCCTTTTTGTTTCATTTTCAAAAACTCCAAGAAGAGCATGTACAGCCACCAGCCCCAGAGGCAAAGAACTCCCAGCACTGTCAACTCTACGTGTCTACTGGCTCCCTACACAGCAGCCAAGCCAATAGAGCAAATCAAGAGAAGGAATACTCTAAAAGAATGGAGCAAGAAAATGAGATACTTCAAAAGCAGTGTACTTACACAATTATGTGGAAAGGCCCTCCTAGGATGGTTTGTCCAAAGTATTTTGCTGCTCCAACTCTAAGGATATCTGGGATCTAAGAGAGACATCCTATTCACTTTAGGACTCAGATGAATTCCGTTATACTATAAAATGTCATGGTTATCACCAATATTCACAGGATCTTGGGACCAGCTGCATCTGCTTGGCTGATTCACAGATTGATTTCTATATTACTTTAAAAAAAGAATGATTAAGTCAGGTGGACCACTCTTGGGATAGGACAGAGATTGATGGAAAATCTAAGAACACTTGGGCAGATCAAGAGACTTCGGTATGTGGCAGAGAGATGTTGCAGCACAGAGCTGTGAGCCTGAAGTTCATATAGATTACTGACAAGAGACCAGACAAACAGCCGAGAGTCAGAAATTAAGACAAAAAGACCTTCTTGAGTTTGTTCTAATTCTCACTGTGTCAATTGTAGTATAGTCCTAGAGTCATGACCAAACACAGGAAGAAGGATTTGTCCTCCCAGAACAGATATGGGCAAAGAAAAGCCTGTTTACAAGCCCTGTATTATTTCAGTTCTCCCTGGCATCGTCATTTGAGTTTTTGCATGTAAAAGTTTCAGTCTTCTTTTTGATATTATAATAAAATCAAGTGGGAGAGGTGTTTGTTTTCATTTAAATAACTTTGCCTTTTGTTTGAGAGAGTTCATGGTAAGAAGAACACCTAAACACATCCACCTCTGAACTCTGGCTGAGTAAGGCTCCTGTTATAGATCCACACTATAGAGTCGCTGATCTCCAATTGAGCATAAACTTCTCTGCATATGCACAGAAATCACTTCATCCAGCACCCTTAAACACATGAGTATTTTGGGGTGCTAGGTGAAGAATCTCTAATAATCTAATGCAATAGCTGGATCCACAGATGGTGCTAAGAGGAACAGTGGCATTATCCTGCAGACAGTATTTGAGATTGCAGCAAATCCTTCTAATCGCTTCTTCCACACCTAGAGTCTTACTAGTACATTATCACAGTCTGTTTCATCCAACAGGTACTGTTGGCAGTATCTATTTCCACAGACCTATATCAAAGCACTTAGACTAAGCAAAGAACCCTTCCCAAGTTGTCAGCACAAACGCGCGCCTGTCTAGTAAGTAAAATCTGCCCTGATGAAACTCAAAACTATAGAGCTCACTGTTTCTCTTACCTCAAGGATCAAAATTACTACAGCTCCAATGACTGTGATTAGCTCCCCCACCAGCCTCAGCTCATCTTCATACGTCATGTATGATTCCTGAGAGAAAAAAAAGTGAATGGAAATTTAAATTAAATCTTAAAGGGAGTGAAAGGAAATTAAAAAAAGAGGATGGGTGAAGGGAAGGCCCACTGTTGGTGTAATAAATACAACTAGGACTGACCAGGCCACAGGAACCAGACCAGGTCCAGCAACTGAGAACAGAGAGTGCACCATATTTCTCACTGACAAAGGTCAGCTGGCAGAAAGAAGGAAAGCTGCAATAGCTGGCAACTGGGAAAGACTTGGACTTTCCAGTTTAGTAGGTTAGATGAGAATTGCCCAATGTTGCCTATGGGGCCCTGACTCCTATAGACACAGTACCTGCAGCATTTTCTGCACATAGATTGTATTGTCTCTGCTGCTTGTTTTGTTGCCTGTTCGGGGTTTCAGCGGTCGGTAGACGCAGCACATAGTGAAGCAGACCATGTAGAGTATATAGAATAAAGCCAGGAAACAGAAATAGGGACGACCATACATATTCCACTTCAGGCTCACCAGCTCCTTCACAGGTGTTAGGTCCAAGATTTGGCGTGCCTGAGAAAGACAGAAAGAAGGAATTAACTGCCATAACAACATTTGTTTATAAGCAAAGTAAAAATGCATGTAAGTAAAAAAGATTCGATAGATGGAAATAATACAGGATGGGGAGGATTGCACTAATTAAAATGTCTCCTTGTTATTTCCTGTCCTATTAGTATTATTTAAGGTAATCACAACTGATAGGGTGGTGTCCCTTGAAAGTCTTAGAGGCCTGCCTAAGCTTGCCATTACATTTGCCGCTTTAATTTTTAGTGATACCTTTACAAGTGTTGAAGCCAGCAGCAGATGATTTGCCTACTGTCATTAAATGACGAGAATGAGTGGTTTCAAAATGCGGTCGAGTTTAGGATTTCTGAACACAGTCATGTCTCACAGGGACACTGTGAGAGTTAATCAGAATCACAGTTACAGAAAGCTACTTGCTAGAGCTACTGTAGGAGTATTGTCACTGATACATTTGAGCCTGCTGAAAGAGAGAACCATTTACTTGAATCACACAATGTCATTTCCTGTAGCTTGCTCATGCTAAGTTCTTTCAATCATCTTCAAGTTTCACACATCAGAAGAAAACGTATATAGATCAGATGTATATACATCTGATGTGGTTAAGTCATTAATAGCATTAATAAATTTTATGTATTCCCTGCAGCACATGGTACAAAGTCCTCGCTCTTGGATACTGTAAAAAAGATTGGACCTTCAAACTCATCATTCTTCTCTTATAATCACCATGGTCTGCACACCAAAAGCATGTGGTGCCTACAGTACCTCTCTCTTCTTGGTTGAGACAATGAGCTCAAGGAAGGACTGATCTTCAGCCCAGGAGTCAATCTCTGTGAGATCATAGAGAACAGTGGTCAAGGGGCCAAAGGACCAAAGATTGTGCTTCCGCTTCTGCATAAGGTATTGAAACATCTGGGGAGAAAAGAAGGAGTTTGAGGATACCGGGAACTTGCCAGTATATTGTGTATTTGCAATGAGAACAAACTTGTTAAAAACTATTAATTACAATGGATTTGCCTTGAACTTGGCAGTTGTAGCAATCCTCATACCTCTCAGGAACAATTACAGTAGGTTAAGAAGTTGAAGAACTTTTTCTGATGCCCATCTGATTATTAGCTCATGCTTGAGGTAAAGGATGAGTGTTTTTTACTTTAAGTTCTAATCAAACTGCTAACATTATTTAACACAGTTCTACATCCTGACAATAGATTTCACGTGGAATTATACGTTGATTAGGACAAAAAAATACCCATTTATACTTTTCTACAAGTTATCAGGAAAGAGGTGTTGCAAGGGAAATGATCCTTTCCTTTATACATCTACAGAAATAACATTAAACACCTTTGTCTTTTTGTTAAGTGAAAGGATGAGAATTTATGTTAAATACTGAGTTCTTGCCTATTAACAAATGTCTGTGGGTCCCTGAAGAAGTTTCCTATGTGTCACATTTAGGGTAATGAAATCTCAACATCAAAGATAATAATTTCAGCTAGGCTTTCAAAAACATTTATGGGGTGTGTATATCTTTATGTTAACACCTTTTCAACTCAAATGCTTCAAATATTAGGTCAGAAGAGTTATTCTTTAAGCACTCGTTTCTTTCATTAGGATAAAGAAATTTCTTATGAAGGATTTTCTTATAAAAGATTTGTTATGTGTTTTCGACCCCCTAAGAACACGCACAAATTCCCTTGGTCTGGGTGATGTTATTTCAAGTTCTCCATTTCTCTTTCATATGGAAGCATCTGTGTCACAGAAACTCACCACAGTGTTACCCTCAACTCCAGCCAGTTTGAACGGAGTTAGCCCCTCATTGTTAGGAATCAGTTCAAGTGATCCTGGTCCCTCTTTGTTCCTGTCATAGGAGAGTATCAGGCTGTACATGTGGCAGGCAAACGTCTTATTAGGTTGGAGAACCAGGATGTGAAGAACAGTATTACCTATGAAGGAAGCAGACCAGATAAAATACGTAGAATTACACAGCCCTGTGCAAAGACTGGCAATTGACTGATGGCTTTAATTTTCTTCACATCCCTCATCCATTTGTAATGAGAGAAAAACATGTGCATGCACAGATAACAAAAACTGATTTAAAACATCCGTATACACTGTGTCCAATTCAGTAGTCCCCACAGCACATACCCAGATAATCTTGAGCTCTAATATCAGCTCCATTTTCAATGAGCAACTGTACAATTTCCTCATTTCCCACACAAGCAGCAAATGATAAAACATGCTCTCCTGCAAAGAAAGGAATGGGGAGAAACAACATTAAGTCTCCAGGAGGCAGAAGAGGTTAAAGTACGATGAGGGAAAGCTATCCATTCTACCAAGCTAGAGGACATGAAACAAAGAGTTACCTCAGGTAACCGGTAAATTTCCTGCCCACTCCTCATTCTACTCAGAAAGAAAAGGATGCCTTCCCCCCACAGCACTAAAAGAAAGAGGCGCTCTTTTCAGAAGATTACCTTCACAAGAAGGTTGACAAGTAAGTTCCTATGTGCTGCTAGGAAGAAATTAAAGTATTTTAACGCAATATATATATTTTTGTATACACGCAAATATTCTGTATATTTGTAAATCTGTATGATTTATATATTTATATTTCTGTAGTATTTACATACTCAGGCTGAGCATTACTGTGTGCTAAAAGATGTGTGATTGATGACACCTGGAGACATGAGTCTCTACTCGACCAGTTTAGATGGGGACTAAAGCAAGCCCCCCATATATTCCCTCATCACTCTGCTGGTTCCCTCCCGTAGCAGCAAGGGAAGAAGATGAGACTGTACCGAAATAGAAAAGATTCTGGGATCTGCGCCTGAAGAAGTGCCCAGTAGCCCGTGCCGTGCAGGCATTAGCTCCTCTCTTGAGTAAAGCCTTCACCAAGATGATGTTTTGGTTCACTGCTGCAATGTGGAGAGCTGTCTGGCCTGTAAGACAGAAATAAAACCTTGCCTTCCAAGAAAGCAGCTTCAGGCTGATCAGTAGCCTGCAGTTCACATTCCAGCCATGGAAAATCTAAGGGTTTTGGGACTGCACCCGTAATAGCTGTATTATTTAGCTTTGAAGTTATCCCTGTTGTGCGCGAAGGGCTGGACTACAGCTTTTCAGGGATTCCACTCTACATAACTCTTCTTATGAATTCATGAAAACTGACTTTACAACTTGCCAAAAAAATGCCAACAGGATGCACCTTCTAGAGTTTTGCTGGGGGAAAACAAGATGTGCTACACTTTTCCAGGAATTACACCGAAAGCTGTGTGACTGATTATGCTTCCCTTCATGGGACACAAAGACCAGGTCAAGGCAAATCTCCCAAAGTAGACTTATTTTAATCGTTCAAACTAGGTATTAAAAGTTTTAAAGCTCCACCATTATTATTCTAGTGGTTTCAAGATTCTGTCTGGCCTTTCTGTGTAGTCAATCAGCACCATCCTTTAAAAACCTGGCTCAGACAAGACTCAAAAGCAGTGGCCACATTTTTTTCAATCCTGTTCTTTGTCAACCAAAACCCTAGTTTTTCTCCTTTCAGAGATGGGTAGAGGTGCCTTCTGTTACAAACGAGTATGCTAGAAAGTAAAGTGTACATTTCCTTGCAATCCTGCTGTAGCAAACAGGCCCATATGTGGTTAAGGGTTTGGCAGTTACGCATTTGTGTGTTTGTACATGTGCATACTTGGGGTTAATATAATTCCACCTTCCACAAATGGTCAGGAGCCATTTGTATGTTGGCTTTGCTTTGTAACAGTTCAGCACTATATTGAACCAGGAACAGTATAAGCTGCTTCCTTAAAAGTACAGGTAGTACTTCCTCTCTCCCTCCACAGGGAATCCTGCCCATCTTCATTCCCTAAGATGTCACCTTCATAAAGCTCCGATGTCATCCTCTCATTGATAAGCTCAGGAGCTGCTTCCATCAGAGTCACTGCTGCCTCCATGTTGTCATACAAGGCAGCTACGTGAAGGGCAGTCTCCCCCACTGCACCTAGGAACAGTAGGAGAAGCACGTGAGTCATTCTAGACGGCCAACTATATGTGACAAAAGAGAAATTCATATTGGAGTTGAGAACTGTGGGAGTGCTAGTCCCTCCTTGAGTACTGCCAGACCATGTCACCTCAACATACAACATGGTAACAGCCTCAAAGCTACAGTCTCTGTCCTTCACTCCATCAAAATCTGAAAGCTGAACAGAGACTTCATGTGTTTGTAAGTGACAGCAGTCTGAGGCATGAAGTGGATGAGCACACAGTGCTTCCACAAAAAAAAGGCCCGTTCAAGCTGTAAACTTCTAATCTTCCCATTCTTTTAGGGTTTGATGAGCTCTCCAAGTCAGAAAACTCGCTTTATTGCAAAGCTGCTAACACAGAGTTAAGTAGTTTGAGTTTGCTAAGGTAAATGTTTTAGCAAACTAACAAATGTACTGTTCTACTCATTGTAACAGACTCTTGCTTCCACAGAAAACCATTTGTCACAAACAGCTGAGTTACCTCTCTGATAGATATCACATGTTCCATCAGTGAGAAGTTTCCTAATGGCTGGAAGGTTGTTCTCTTTGGCAGCCTGGAGGAGTGGGGATTCCCAGATCCTATAGTCAAGAAAAAGCGGCTGATAAGGAATGCAGTTAAATACATGCTGCCTTTCTCCAGAGCTATCGTGTCCTTTGCCTGAGACAGTGTGTATCTTCAGCATTTTCACTGAAAGATCCATAATGCATACCTACCATGTGAGGTATTTTTTGAATGCAAAAAATCCTGTCACAAGCAAGTGTAGTTCTAAAAACCCAGGCAGTTCATCGTCTTTTGATTTACTGATGCTTAACCATATGGTGGCAGCAAAGGGAAAGACAGGAGAAAGGAATAACCAGCTCCAAAATGGTCCTGGTTTATATAACCTACATGTTGGGGTACAGAAAGTAGCAAATGATGGGTCATGAGATCTCACTTGAAATATTGTGTACAGTTCTGGTGTCCTCAACCTAAAAAGGACATGGAACTGTTGCAAAAAGTCCAGAGGAGGGCAACGAGGATGATCAGGGGGCTGGAGCACCTCCCATATGAAGATAGGCTGAGGAAGTTGGGGCTGTTCAGCCTGGAGAAGAGAAGGCTGCGTGGAGACCTCTTAGCCTTCCAGTATCTGAAGGGGGCCTACAGGGATGCTGGGGAGGGACTCTTCATTAGGGACTGTAGTGATAGGACAAGGGGTAATGGGTTTAAACTGAAACAGGGGAAGTTTAGATTGGATATAAGGAAGAAGTTCTGTACTGTAAGGGTGGCAAGGCACTGGAATGAGGTGCCCAAGGAAGTTGTGAATGCTCCATCCCTGGCGGTGTTCAAGGCCAGGTTGGACAGAGCCTTGGGTGAGATGGTTTACTGTGAGGTGTCCCTGCCCATGGCAGGGGGGCTGGAACTGGATGATCTTAAGGTCCTTTCCAACCCTAACTGTTCCATGACTGTATATAACCCTCCTGACAGTAGACTGGTCATCTCAGGAGCCAGTAAAGGCAAGTAGACTTTTCACAAAGCATCTGAATTACTCCAATAATGGACAGAAAAGAAAAAGTGCCAACAAGCATTCACTCTGTATCATAACAGTGCTTTAATTGTATAATTAAAAGAGTAAGTTCTGAATGTAGTTCCTCATCATAGAAAGTTATGAAGAAAAATTTGGAAGCTCAGTAACACTTTTTTTTTCTCTTATACTGAGAAAATACAAGAAATTATTGAGAACTGAAATGTATGCCAGTCCTGGGCATGCCATCAAGCAAGTGCCAGGCTGAATGGTTCACTTAAAGAATGCCCTCGAGTCTTCCCCGAGTCTCTGGGTTACTTTGCAGATCCCTTGGAGCTGATGAAGAATTTACAAGTACAGTTGCCAAACTTCACTACAGCAGGATCCTTTGGTGCAAACAGCAGGTGAAGGTAAGTGATCCTCCCCCTCTGTTTAGCTCTGATAAGGCCATACCTAGAGCCCTTGTCCAGTTCTAGGATCTTCAGTACAAAGGACATATTGACCTACTGACAATAGATCAGCAAAAGGGCCCCAAGATGATTATAGGACTACAGCATCTGTCATATGTGGAAAGGCTGAGAGAACTGCAACTGTTTAGCCTGGAGAAGGAGCCATTCTTGTCAATGTAAGTACCTGAAGGGACGGTGCAAAGAGTTACCTGCGACACCCGCTTGTCAGCATCCAAATAAGCTTTGCCAATGTTCAAAATACTGAGTTGGCCACTCAAAAAACCCACAAAAACCAAAATCTACTAATTTGGGGTAAACATTTATGTTATCCTTGAACATTTTCAGATTTATCTTTTATTTCTAAAACATATCTTGGGTGGTTTTCTTATTTTTGTTTTTATAGGAATAAATAATTCTAAACAGCCCAAGTTCAGGAACTAAAGATTTAAGAACACCCTCAAACCCAAAGAAACAGCCTACCTCTTACGAATTTCCAGTATGAAATAGAAAGAGATTCCTCTCTCAGAATAAGGTAAGCTCAGTTTTAAATCTCTGTTCAGGTACAAATTTTATGCTCTCACCTCTGCTTTCTTGCAGTGCAGATGTTTAATTTGTTCTTAATTACCTAGTATGGCCCAGGCCATGCTGTAATCTGTGATGTGGAACCAGTCTAAGAAACACAGTAGAACAATGACAAATTCAAGCTGACATGAATGAGGAGGATATCAACCCTTCTTTTCCTATCAGCCCCAGTCTGTCCTTTCAGTACAGCATAACAGCAGCCAATGGACTGGATGTTGGTCTCACACACATATGCACACATAAAAGCATGTGGGACAAATACGTTAGTCCAACCATATACCTGGAGATATATTCAATGTTTTCTCCTTGTGTTGTCTCAGATTTTTCTCCTCGTACTCTGGTATTATTTAGTTACAAGATTATTTTTTTTAAAATTTAGTTTTAGTTTATAGGGCAAATACTATATAAAGCAACAGGCATTTTGCATTATTAATGAGACTGATGTTCGAATATGTTATCTATGAAAATAACTATCATAAGCCACAAGCAAACCCACACCAGAGAAAGAGGCAGAGAGAATATAAATGGTCCATTGCACAAAATGTTTTCTCAGAACTTCCGCTTATTAGGTATAGAGTAATTTAACCCTAAAATTATAGGAAAGCAGGTGCATAGATTCTGTGGCTCACAGAAAGATGTATTTCTTGATTTAAGTTAGTCTTTTATGAACAACAGAATCTTGGAGAAAGAAAAATCATTTTATATGCCATTGGCTCCAGATTTTATCTACATGAAATGTGCAAGCTCTGTGCATTTTATATCAGAAAGATACTGAATCACTTGAGAGAACTTGGGAGATAAAGCAAAAGGAACAAAATATCAGAATTACATGGATAAATAGGAATCATCTGAATAAGGGTAAATTAATGGGCATGGGCTACAAGCAATAAAAGTAACTAAACATTATATTTATCATTCCATAAAAGGAACATTTCCTGTCACCAACAGCACCCCCGTTGTCTAAGTCACTAGAAATTAGACTAGAAAAACACTAATGAACAAAGGAGAAATAAAACCATTCAGGATATAAAGAAACATCCCAAACAAACAAGGGAACTATTCTAAGGTATTTCTATGTGTCCTTGGAACTCTTTGCCTTGCTGTTTTGGGAAGAATTCTTTCTTTATCTTACTCACATGTCAGCTGCATTAGTTGCTAATTACAAGATGATTTGATAAGAACATTGCATCTAGGATCAGACAAACAGGAACAAACTAAAGTGTAGCTCTGAGCAAAAGTTGTAAGATTCAATATCGGAGAAGCAGGGTGCCAGCTCTGCCATTATTTTGCCTGAGAAAGATACTGTCTTCCTGAAGAAAGTCAGGGTTCAGAAGGCAGGAAGTGGGAAGGAGGTGGGGTTTCAATAGTATAAACAATGCTATAATTAATACGTTGATGCTTTGTGTGGAAGGCCTTTATCCCTCAAATGACCTCAGAGAGGAGGATTGATTGGCTAAGAGACAGTGTGGGAGGACGCAAACAAAATACCTTTCTCACAAAATTCTCCAAAGCCCTTGTAAACAGCTAAGTAACTTACAAGCCCACTAAGAGGGAGACACCTAATAACTACCATTCATGGCTATGAGAAATATAGGGCAAAATTGTCAAGCCTTTCTACTCACTATAAGGACCTCCAACTGGGCTTGAAGAACCAGAGGCCAAAGAGCAAGCTGGTAAAGATCTCAGAAGCGCTGATGAATGTCATGGCACACTGCCTCTGATGCCTTAAGGGGCCATGACTTAAGTGATTATATCATATGCTTTTACTCTCATTTAATTTTCTGTCCCATGATTGCAGAAACATTTTACTCTCATTTAAAATACACCATTATAATTATAAACTCATTTTTAACACATTACATGTACTGAGCATATAAATGTTAGCTACTAGGTGAGATAAAGTCACTAATATAAAAAAGTTTAAAAAAAGTCATCTGAATCTAGATCCTTCAAAATATTTTAATTTCTTAAAGATCTGGACATTTAATCAATTTTATTCTTGACCCATCAAACACAGCATAAATTTTACTCTTTACAACTCCAGTTCCTGTGCATCAAAGCAGCAGCAGGCAAAATCTGTAACTTAGTCTCTTAACAGAGCTGCCTACAGTAGGTGCTTCATTTCTGCAAAGTGCCATTGCGTCACTGGATGGAGAGTGTGGCTTTCATAGAGTTATTCAGCTGAGACCTATTTAGATGCTCTGAGAAGATAATTCTGCACACTTAAGTTCTGGTTCTAAATCATTCCTTTCTTCAGCTATGGAGTCAGGGGACACTAAACTACTAATTTAGCCAGGTAAGTTAGGTCTGGTAACACTAGGTAGTACTGATGTTGCCTTACAGGATCAGTTAAGGATAAGCACAGCTACATAGCTAACCAGTAGTTCTCATGAGCTATGAAAACCACAACACTATTTACCCAGAAGTGCTTCTGAGTTCTTCTTACTGAGCTAAGTAATACAGCTATGTTGGGGCACTTAGTGAACCTTGATCATGCATTACTGTCAGCCAGTATTCTTAACAGGTGATTCAATGATATGCTCAGGAAGCTGTGAATTGTTTTTCACTATAGGTGAGGACAAAGTCAGGAACACCCCAAAATCCATTGTGAAACAAAGAGAAGTTAAAATATAGGTCAGACTCTGACTGAAGGAGTCATGTAAAACAGTTTTAAACAAGGTTAAGGATTTCACAAGCACTTTCCGCTGGTAATATGTACCCTTTTGGATTTACAGCTTCGTAAGCACTTCCTTTGGAGTGCATCCTGCTCTTTTGAAGAGCTAAAGAATGCAATGACAAGTCCATAAGTCTTAACTGTTATAAAAAAAAGAATTTGGATTTATGGGATTATTCTAATAAAACAAGGAAATATGTTAAATATGTGAACTGTCTGGACAAAAACCAGTCTGAAGCTTCTTTTCTAAGACTGAGCTCACCAGGGATGTAACAGAGCGTCTCTTCCTCTTCTTTCCTTCCCTTCCCACATTCTACTACTTGAGTCATTCACTGTAGGGAATTTTCCTATTGTTTGCTCTAGTTTAAGTTCAGCATCTGCTGGCTTCATGGTTTATCCCTATGTCTATGTCAGTTACTGAGGGTCTAAAGCAATTCTTTCTGTGTGAGTTATAAACTCATCATCAGGGTATTATTTCAGCTTTCTTTTCTTTCCCTGTTACAGCGTTTAGAATATCCATGCTTGATACCTCATCATGAAATCACCATCTTCTCCCTCCCTTCTGCTAGTATATTTATGTAAATGTGTGCTAGACATCAGGAGAGCAGAGGGGTGCTCAAAGGAAGCTAACCAGCCAAAAAGAGGATCAAAGCAATCATCTAACAAGATGCTAGAGAATGAGTTAGGAATTAATAGCATGAAGTAAAAAGAAGACAAGTAACAGAGCTTGGACAATCAGGGCCAGCAAATTTCTTCAGCACTGACAGAAAGACTCAGCGAATTACCTGCAACCTCTTGTATGTTGAAGCTCCCTCACAGTAAACAGAGCTCCTCTGGAAATTAACAGGTTACTCATTACCAACAGTACTAGAGAATAAACTGATAGGGAAGTATTCTCTCTTACTCCTTTAGCTATCTACCACACTAAGCAACAGAAATCTTGCTCAGTCTCCTCCATGAGGGCAATCTCCTTGCATTAACCTCATTTTTTTAATTCTGCATCAGAGACCATTCAAGAATAATGTCAACTAGAACAGGAGAGTAAAGAGCCACAAAAAAAACCTCGAAACTAACAGGGACCTGAAGTTTTTATTGCAACATTTTTTGAATGACCATAGCTTTTTGCAAGTTATGCAGATTTTCTCAAGCACCTCCAATGCATTATTTCTCAAAGCAGTTTTTTAGTGGTAATTCATGTGCAAAAATGTTTTGGTTTTATTTTTATTGATGTACCACTCAAATGTTTTACTGTCATTAGAATAATTATGCCTCAGAACATGACGTGAAGGCCAGGTGATACCAGTAATCCCTAGCAGCAACTGGGAGAGAGAGAGAGGAGACACACAGAACATAGATTATTTATCGATCAAAGTTATAAAGGCAGGCAATAGCAGAAAGACAAATATCATGTAATTGTCTCCTGATCCATATACCCACTTGCTCTAACTTACTTATTAGTTATTTTTTTATGAAAAGTGCAGTTCTCATATGGTAGAATTTATAAAATTAAATGCTAAAGAGATAAACCTCTTCCTCTGAAGGCCAGACTTAAAACAGAGAAAGGAAGCAACGACTCTTACAGAGGATCTACCAGACTGTGACAGGCATGTGATTCCTGCTCCCCTGTGTCAGACTGGGATTTTCATACATATTTATCACTTTGTTCCCCATGATTATGAACTATATTGGGGTTTTATGTTTGTAATCTCTAGGCTGCATAGATCCCAAAGTTTATGTCCAAAGATAATACTAGAAAAGCCATATGAGATGTGACCACTGTCTCTGGGACTCTGCACTGACCTACAGGCTGTTTAAAACAAGAGTTTTAAACAGAAAGAGACCAGCAGAGTAAGGCAAAATAAATTCAAAGTCCTCTTTAATTATGAGATCAACTGCTAATAAGATTCAAAGAACTATTACACATGGAGAAAGAGAATGAACAGCAACTCAAGTGAAGGTGAGAATAACAAAAGGAGTTAGCTTTTAGGTATAATCATCACCAGTTGCAGGACAGGGAAAAGCATTGTTCTCCTGCAGACTTTGTGTGTAGTCAGAGCAAACTAGTTACTAAGTAGTAACATATTTACCACTACCTTTCAATAAGATAATGGTAGAATTTAATTGCTGTTTATTACCATATATAGTCCAGCACCATTAACACAGAGAAGAACTCAAGCTGAAGCCACAACACTGCAATTCCACACAACTTAACAGGATGAAGTAAGAGTCCTCGTCTTACAATAACTTCTACACAGAAGCAAAGGTTTCATTAGAGTATTTCCCATATACAAGTCATCACATACATTTTCGGTATGTATTCCTCTTGCACATAATTAAGAACATGAAATCAATAAAACCAATTCCAGTCTTCTGTAAAAATTTCATTTTCTTTCTCTTCAAACTCTGAGTATCTCTGGAGAAGAAAGGAAAGGAAAGGAAAGAGTAGGATGATAACAGGGAGAAATGGGCCTGTCCCTCTCTGGAAAAGGGTATCCATATACTAGCAGTATGTAATTTCTGACCAAATACCAGACAACTAACTAACATCAGTTGAAAGCTGTGGGAAACATAGACCTAAACCAATAGGGGACAGTTGTGTCCTCATGCAACCCAGATTTCACAATGATATTCTATGCACTACATGTGTTGTTACATGGAGTTTTATAAAGAAACACAGAAATGTTAGTTCTGGGGAGCACTGGGGTTGCACCAAGCTCTTCTAGGAGAAGTTTACTGAGAAGGATCTATATGCCTAACAGTTTTTCTGTTTTCCTCTATCATTAGCAACACACAAGATGTTTGTGGGCCTGCAGCACCTGACTAATGAGGATTGTCAAGCAAAGGCTGGATGCCAATTCAGTAGCAGCCTATCTGAAAGGAAGCAACGAGAAGGAAGGAGCCAAGCTTGGTGAAACACTGGAATGGGTTGCCCAGGGAAGTTGTGAACGCTCCATCCCTGGCAGTGTTCAGGGCCAGGTTGGACAGAGCCTTGGGTGAGATGGTTTGGTGTGAGGTGTCCCTGCCCATGGCAGGGGGGTTGGAACTGGATGATCTTAAGGTCCTTTCCAACCCTAACTATTCTATGATAAACCCTTCATGGTAACAGTACATGGTAAAACAAGGGGCTACAGCATCAAATGAGGATTTCGGAGGTTCAGGATGAGCATTTGGAAAAAAACCTTTTTCAGCAGGAGGTTACTACAACACTGTAATGGGTATCTGAAGGTATAGTAGAATATCTGTCCTGGGAGGCTTTCAGGACTGAGCTAGACAAAGCCAAAGCAATGTGATCTGTTGCTGGCAATAGTCCAGCTTCAAGTGGGAAGTTAGGGACCTCCAGACGCCCTTCCACATACCTATGACTTAAAAATGTGAAGAAAACGTTATAATTATAAAAATATTAATATATTTAGACTTTTGCACACATTCATTTGGATATTACAGAATCTGCTGAAAACTTATTTTTCAGTTACCTGTGATGCTTTTCATGAGCATTCTATGGAGACACTATTGTTCCCACTATCCCTCTCATTTGAAGTGTATTAAAGTCCTGCTTCCCCGAAGTAAAATAGAAGAGGCTTTTGTTATTTGGTTAGAAGTTAGATGATGATAGATGCAAGTTCTTTCCTTGAAAGCATATGTATATTTGTCCCTTTTAAAGTGCTTTCCTACTTATTTCTATACAACTATGCATGTACATGTACATATGTATGTGTAGATACAGATTTTCTCCCACAGAACCACCTTTTTGTGGCCAGAGATGTTCAGAGTTTTGTGAGGAAATTAAAAACCATTCTTACCATGGACTGGAAGCAATTTGTTATTTGACTATTTGCGCATGCAGAAATAACAAGCATCAATGACAAACAGATGCAGCTGGATTTCCATGAATGCCCCTGCACTACTCTGTGTGGAAGGAGCAAGCCTGCACAGCAATAACAGCCTAGATTCAATATTTACATGTGAAGGCACAGGCAGTCTTCTTGATAATGTGAGGTCTAAGAGGTGTCACTGTACATGTTGACACCCAGGCTACGGGGGCGAGAAACAGCAGTCCAACCCAGGAAGTGACGGACCACCAGGATGTGGAGCAACATGAAGTCCACTCTATCCCATAGCAAAGACAGCTTTTAGACATATAGAAAGCAATCCTTGCAGCATACCCAGTATTTCAGCTGACTGCACTATACGTCCCACACACCCTTAATAATAATTAGAAGCAAAAAAAAAAACAAGCAAAGCCAACAACAACACAAACAAAAAACTCCAAACCAAACTCTTCTGCATTTTCTTGTAAGCTTTACCAATGAAGCAGGAAAGACAAAAGTACATTATTCATTTGTGACTGAAGTCCTGCGCTCAGGGTAATTCGATTGCAACCTAGTAAACCCACCTGTGAAAGCAGATAAGATTGGAACTCCAGAAGCATTCCACCTTGAAAGAAGAAATCTGATACAGAAAAGTGCTCCAGGGTTGTTTAAAGTTTATCTACTGGCAGAAAAGCCTAAGGGAAAAGACTGAGAATCAGCTACGGGGAGAGAGCAGCAGAAGAAAGGGAAGACAGAAAGGCTGAAATTCACTGTACCTTTTCTGCTGGAGTAAGTAGATTTCATCCAGATGTTTATCCCAGGACTTTTTGCCTTGCAACTTCTGACTTAGTCCGTTCCAGATCCGGAAATAGAAGGGTTTGCTATCCTCAAACAAAGGCACCCCCATAGCACGTCCCTTTTTCTTTCTTATCTAGCTGCCTGAAAGCCAGCAATCCACACTTTGAAAGAAGACTGTGAAGGCTCACTGCAGGTCAGCGCTCCTGAGCCCTAGTCTGCTGCTGACAAAGGAGACTGTCCCTCAGCTGCATCACCTGATCAAAGAACATGTAAAAACACAAAATAAAATCCCTTGTCCCTAGCAGACCGTACCTTGAGCCTCATCAAGTACTTCGTTTCCAAAATAACCCAACCCAGAGGTGTGTCTGATTTAGAAGTAGCTCACCAGCAGCCTGCCCCTCACAGAGACCCTATACAGCCCTGAAGAATTCATGCAGCATCATGTCCTAGGCTTCTACTATTTCGTTTCAGAACTTAGAAGTAATCATCCTCCTTATGTCCAATGTTTCTAGTATGTCATTTCAGAGCTCAGAAGTAATCATTCTCCTTCTGTATCTCTGAGTTCCTCTGGAGAGCAACATGTAAGCAATTTTGAAATAGACAGCTGAACAAGTCAGGCAAAACACCTTTAAGGTGAGTGAACATGTGGGAACGTGCCCTAAAAGACACTGTGCTCTGGGAAGGTAGTATAGAGGAGGACACACCTCCCACCCCAACTGTCTGCAAATCCCATTAAAGAAATTATCATTATAGACTCCACCTTTCCTACGTCAAACAAAATCGCTTTACTTCACAAGTTGGAAGAAGAGTTTCTGTAGATTAATGTGTAAACTTTGTATATTTCATTTTCCCTTAATGTTCTAAAAATCTCTCATTGTTCCTTCACATTTGTTCACATTTCTTCCAGAAAAGATTATTTAGGAAAACAAATGAAAATTTCTATTTAACAAAAGCTAGTTTTTGCTATGGAAAAACACCATCAAGGTCATGGGGGAGAGTCTGCAAAGCAGTAGATAAAATATCAAAATGAAGAGGAAAGACATCCATCTCCTTGTGAAGAAGTTGGAAGTTAAATGGGATCAAAAAAACCCAGGCTCCTAGCTTCTAATCTTCTTTCCCTAATATTCTTGCATCTTGAATCAACAGAAATGTCCCTTTATTCTTACTCCTGAAGTAAGTGGAAAAGGATTCTGGTCAGGGTGCCTGCTCCTAGGCAGAATCAGTCGCTAAAGGAGTAAGGTGGGTAATGTAATACAGCTGAGCCATCTGTTTGAAACTTCTGGTTTATTTAGAGATTACTGAGACTTATCAAACTTATTACAGACATTACTTATCAAGCAGACTTTGATAAGTAACTTAATAACAGACTTATCAAACCAGGACTCACATCCAAACTTTTGTAAACTCTTGGTGTATTTTATCCTATAAAAACCTAAATCACCACTCAGAAAAAAAAAACAACAAAACAATGCTTTAAGGCAAACTTGAGGAATCATATATGAAAATGTGAGATATTCTAAATTGTCCTGTTCTAAGGACAGACTTAAGAGGAAGTTAAACTGTCATAATGGGAAAAATGTATTAGCTGCTACTTTGAGAGGTCTAAGTACAACAGCCAGATGTTATGAGCAAAATGTGAGGGGTTTTTAACAATATCAATAATATATCCTTTCTCACATTCTTGAGGGGAGAAACACTCAAAGGTATTTAGACACTGAAGTGTTAAGTGCCTATGATAGGCAAACACCATCTCTTTTCCTGGGCTGTTCTCCCAGGCAGAGAAGACTTTCTAGTGCCTCCCCAAGGAATAAGAGCCCTAGAAGACTGGTATCCGCAGGACAAACAAGCAGTGACATATTCCTCTTTTCTGGGCAGCAGTGCTACTGCCACCCAGACAGCAGCTCTAAGGTACAAGAAGCCAAACAGCATGCTGAGGATAGAGTTCTCAGCTAGCCATGAAGGCAACAGAGGCTGACCAAACTGCAAACCAGTATCTCAGGTGGACTGCCTGCATTGTTGAGGGGTGTCTATTACAACTCTCATTATAGCTTCAGACTGCAGTAAATCTGGCTCAATAGTTTACCCATTTGGATGGATACAAAGCCTTAATACCGCAAAAGAGTATTTTCTTGTAATTTAAGATAGAGGAAATTTTCAAAGGTAATAGAATTCAGAGATGAAAGATGGGTGAAATATGTAAGACTATTGCATAGAACAAAATATCTTTATCGGATCATGGCCATACATTGTAAGCAGTGCTGGGCTTTCAATCTAGCAGGAAGCTGTAAGCAGTTTTTCTGAAAACTCATATATAGGACCTGATAAGGCCTAGTAGTTGAGGGGTGCATTGTAAGAATATACAACTTTGGTGTATGTATCACATACCTGATATCTGCTTGAAGCTCTTTGTATCCCTTTCCATGGCTCCCCAGTCATACTATAACTGGCTCCTAGCCCTCATTCTTTATCTCCTGACATTATCCTAGTTCTACCTGTTCCTTGTTCCAGATTCCTACTGCAATTAGGGTTTTTATCCTGGCTGCCAACGATGCCCTTTCCTGGTGTGTGTCTTGACTTCTCTTGTTTATGATGGGCTGATTCTGACTGACCTGATTCCAGGAATCTTTTGGTTCCGGCTTGGCCCTACCTAACAAATATGAGAGCTGATGTCAAAATCTCCTTACACACACTTTCTCTCCTATATCCATAGATCATGAGTAGCAATGTAAGCATAATGAAATACAAAGCACAACCTGGCTGAATTTGTTCTCACACCATGGTGCTAACAACAAAAGATTAGTAGAGTAGCAATGATAGCATGATGTGGATTCTATGCAGTTAAGTCACTCCATGGTTCTAGGGGATTTATCAATATTGCATATAGCACAGCTGATAGAAAATGTGTAAATACACCAATATGTGGAAATACTTCAGCAACAACCAAGGAATTCCTATTTTCATCTACCTGCTACAAATACAGTGGAAGAAGAAGGCTACCTTAGCCACTTGGGATTGTGACCTTGCCAGAGACACTAGTCTACACTTTTTTATAGTGCACTGCATTTGCTTTAGGCTAGTCTAGATTAAAAAAAGCCCACCACAATAGCATAAATCTGAATATGAAAGCACTGACTTTCAGCGACCCTGGAATCTAAGTTAGCCTTGTCCAGCAATATGCCTGAGAAGGAAAAATTATTAATGAAAAATTACAGTTAAAGACTACAAGAAAATTTCCTACATAATCTCCAGCTTTCTTTTCATCCCAGCCACCTCTTCAGTTCCTGCCTTCTTTTAAACATAAACCAAAATGGCTACTTCCTGGCCTACTATAAAAGTAATTTCAGTGCTAATGTAGAGACAGATGTAATTTACACAGTACGTGGCATGGATTCTTTTCCTTCTTAATGGCCCTGACCCTTACATTCCAAGTTGTCACAAAACTCCTGTTAACCTTCTTGGGAATTTTGAGTGCTGAAGGTATGTAGGATTGAATCCAATGTGCTTATCTGGTGACAAATCAGGATGGGAGTGCATGTTCTTTTTTCTCTTCATGCTTTTCTCTTACAGTTTCTCTAGAGGTGGGAGGGAATTGCAAGAGCTGCATGCTATTTTAGATTTACTGCAAAGATGAAAGTGCAATTCTAGTCTTTAACAAAATCCATGAAAACGTGAACTGCAATTTGCAGGAAACGAAGAAGATAAAATATACCGTAAAAGTAAGGATGCCTGTTAAACCTGAAGAGAAACTATATTAGCTGCGCACGGTAGAAGTTTACAATTTTTATCTTCTAAAAAGATTTTCAAGGTTTCTGTTAAGTACAGCAAAGTATGTAACGAATGGTATCAAGAAGAATTACACGAAGTTGACTTTGAAGAGGAAAGGAAGAAAGGGAAATCAACTTACTTATTATGATGAATTTAAATTCTCTTCTACATTTGCCTTCCAAATTTGCCCCCCAAATCCACGTTGAGCATCTGGTAGACAAAATAGCATAACTAGATGCTTAGCACATCTTCAAATCACTGTACAGTCACTGATTAGCCACGTTGTCTTGGCTAACATGTAGCCAACCCAAGTTTTCCATGTCAGAGACACATATTGACCCTACACTTCTGCTTGGACAAAATTTCAGCACAATGACTTGCTTGCATTAGGGACAGCAGCAGAACCACAAGCTGCCAGGCCATTTGAGAAGCTTTTATTTTTCCACTGCATATTTCTCCCTGTCTTGTTCCATATATTCTTTCTGAATCACATATATGTTCAAACCTTCAAAACAAAAAAAAAACATCTTTTGCTCCAGCTCACAAAAATCTTTCACCTTACTTCTCATAAAGATTTGCTCTCAAGAAATTCCTACCTCAGAGATCAGAAGAGAAATTCTGTCATTTCAGCAACGGCAAAGATATAAGTGCCTGGAATGCATACCCAAGTTCACACTACCATCTTAAGAGCGAGAGTGGAAGTGCAGCCTAAAACCAGGCCAGTCTTTCAGCATCGCCGCTATACATTTCTGACGTACTGCAGTTCTTTGCCTGAAATTGCAGCATCTAATAAAAATTCTAAAGATGTGAATTGTGAGAGAAAAGAATGAGGCGAGCAGGGAAAAGCAATGAAAGTAACAGTTTCTGAGTCCAGACAGAAGGCAGAAAAAAAAGTCAAGAGCTTACAAAGTTAGCAGTAAACAGTGATGGATTTTCTCCACGAGTATAATGGGTGATCTTCCATCTGAGAAGGTTGTAATCATGACTAGCCAACAACTGCTTGATGTATTACAGATATGTTAGGGAATCCTGTTGGACTGTGATATTTCCAGTTGATCAAGTTATAGTACCTTACTTGTGCAGCACAGGAAAACAAAGCTGTGGATGATTGTATGCAAATGCATGGTATTACATAGAGTTTCATATCACACAACTGACATATATCTGAAAACAAAACTAAGTAACAGACAAAAATAACTAGATATTCAGAAGAAGCCAGAAGCAGCATACTACTAGTGTCAGCTCCACCAGAGCTCATCTACTGTGTAAGCAGGAATTACTTAACCATGAATAAATCACTGATAACTCAGAAATAGAAGTAACTTGACAATGCATCATAAACTACATCAGGACATAGGTGCCCTTTAAGATTCTACTATATCTTATGGAACCAATCCTGATATGCAATTCTGTAATTCAGTCTCCTGTCCTTAAGGGGTGCAAAAGGCCAGAGGCAAGCTTGTTTCAAATAAAAAAATATGCTGAATTATCTTTATTAATAGATGTGTTTATTGTATGTGAACATGTGCATGTAGTAAGCCTGGTTAAGAAAAGACTCGGAGTGGCAGAGGCAAGATGACCTACTTGTGGCAGAGAACAGCAGCAGAGGAACAGACACTTTGAAAGATGCATTTCCAAGGTTCCAGTGAGTTGGGTGAGAGATCAGTAATAGTTCCATTGGCTGTTACGGAAAATCCTGGTGCAGCAGCACAAAGATCACTAGGTTTCATAAAACTGACCTCACCAGCATCTGCCACAGACTTTTGAAGACCTCTGGTGAGTGCAGCTATATCGGCAACACAAAGGAGAACTCTTAGTAAAATAGGGTCACCAAGAAACTTCCTAGTTAACCTTGA